CTAACTCCAGTTAACACTCTGGCAGCAGCATTTTGGATCAACTGAAGACGTTTTAAAAAAGTATTTGGACACCCAGATAATAAACCATTGCTATAGTCCAGTGTAGACGTGACAAATGCATGGACCAGTTTTTCTGCATCATTTTTAGATAAGATGTTTCTAATGTTAGTGATATTACGCAGGTGGAAGAAGGCAGTTCTAGTAACATTTTTAATGTGGGGGATAAAAGACATGTCCTGATCAAAAATAACACCAACATTTTTAACATTAGATATAGAATAGAATGGAACTGAAGAGAGGAGGAGGAGAAAAGATACATGGATGCAAGGTCGTTCACATCACATGTGGTACATGAAGTGGAATGAAACTATGTACACAGGGTCCCAGTTACATCCAACAAAAACACAAATTGTAAAGAAAAATATTAGTAAGATCCGAGTCATGAACTAAGAATATACTACATTCACTAAACTAAGAATACACAAGACTAAGAATACACTAAGCTCTAAATAGTACAAAAACAATGCAGCAAAACAAAAGCAGCACAAACATAAGTCTGTATGAGCAGATGAGGACTAATGAACACAGCAACATGAAGTAATCAGCAGCATGAGATCAGCATCATGGATAGTCAGCAGCACATTTCAACAACAAAGTGGCATTACAACAATTTTCAGTTTTTTTTGTTTGTTTGTTTTGTTTTTCACAGTGATTTTTCAGTTTTTTCACAGGGATATTTTTTTCACAGTAATTTTCATTGTAATTTTTTTCCTGGTTAGAAATCCATGAGTCTAACAGCCTCAGGGTAGAAGCTGTTCCTCAGCCTGGTGGTTCTGCACTTAATTCTCCTCAGCCTTCTGCTTGAGGGGAGCAGGGCAAAAAGTGTGTTTGTTGGGTGTGTAGGGTCCTTCATGATGTAGGTGGCCCTCTTCCTGCATCTGGAGGTGTAAATGTCTGTGATGGTGGGGAGGCTGACACCAATAGACTTCTGTGCTGTCTTCACCACTCTCTGCAGAGCTTTTCTTTCTGCAGCTGTGCAACCTCCATGCCACACGTTGATGCACTGGATGCTCTCCACTGCACACATGTAGAAGGAAGTGAGGACTGAGCTTTCCAGACCAGCTTGCCTCAGCCGCCTGAGGAAGTAGAGTCTCTGATGTGCTTTAATGATCAGGCTGGTAGTGTTGTTGCCCCAGCTGAGGTTGTCATTCAGGTGCACACCTGAGTACTTTTAGCTTTAGACCACTTCCACCGCAGATCATCCTATATTTGGGGGGGGAGAGTAGGTGTGTTTGCTCCTTCTGAAGTCCACAACCATTTCCTTTGTCTTACTCACATTGATGTGAAAGTTGTTTGTCCTGCACCAGCTCTCCAGGTGTTCCACCTCCTGCCTGTAGCTGGACTCATCATTGTTTTTGATGCATCAAACCACCGCTGTATCGTCTGCAAACTTTACAGTATGACAGCCTGGATGGGTCGGTACACAGTCATACTTTAGCAGAGTGAACATGAGGGGGCTCAACACACAGCCCTGGGGGGGCAGAGACTGTGCTGAGGGTTATGGTGGAGGAGGAGAAGTCGTGGATCTTTTCAAATTGTGGTCTGTTGGTTAAGAAGTCGAGGACCCAGTTGCATAGAGAGGAACTTAGTCCTAGTGTGATTAATTTGTCCATCAGGATCTGGGGAATCATGGTGTTGAAGGCAGATGTGAAGTCCACAAAGAGCATATGGACGTAGGAGTCCTTCTGTTCAAAGTGGGTGAGAGCAGTGTGGACCACAGAGGAAATGGCATCCTCTGTTGATCGATTCTCGCGGTATGCATACTGGTGAGGGTCCACATTGATGTTAAATGGACTGTACTTGTATAGCGCCTTTCTATCTGATCAAGATACTCAAAGTGCTTTACAACACAATCTGTGCCCTCATTTACCCATTCATACAGCACTCTACTAGATCTCTACAAAGCTATTTAAACAAATCATTCTAAAGAGACTAATCGGTGCTTTATCCCATTCATACACCGATGGGACACACGTTGGAGGCAATGGGGGGGTTCAGTGTCTTGCCCAGGGACACTTCGGCATGTGACTGCTGGTGAATTCGAACCCCAACTCTTGCATTGGAGGACGACTGCTCTAACCACTCAGCCACAGCCGCCCTTGTTAATGTTAGCTTTGATGTGGGTCATGACCAGATTTTCAAAGGATTTAGTGACTATCGGGGTGAGGGCTACCGGACGATAGTCATTCAGATCAGTCACGTCACTGTAGAGCTCTTTGGAACTGGGATAATGGTGGCAGTCTTGAGGCAGGTGGGAACTGTTGCCAGGGTGACAGAAGAGTTAAATATGTTGGCCAGCACCTCGCAGAGCTGATCGGTACAGTCTTTCAGCACTTTCCCCGGGACGTTGTCCGGGCCAGTTGCCTTGTGAGGACTGATCCTCCTAAAAGTACTCCTTACTTCTGCTGAGGTCACGCTGAGGAACTCTTCTTCTTGTGATAAGGTGAGTCTAGTACTGGGTGGTCTGTTTGGGTCCTCAAAACATGCGTAGAATCTGTTGAGAGCATCAGGCAGTGATGGATACCTAGGGCATTGTGTACCTCTACCTCTCAGTAGGGTGCGTACCGCTGCATTCAGCCAAAGCTATTGGTTTGGATAGTGTTTCACATTCTTGAAGGTGGTGACGTTACCAGTACACTTAGAAATGTAACAAAGGACTGAGGATGCATATTCATCTAAGTCTATTGCTCCTCCCTCTTTGACGGCAGCTTCCTAGAATACTTACCAGTCTGTGTGTTTAAAGCAATCTCTTAAAATAGAGTCACTATTTGTTACCCACCCCTTTAAACGCCTTTGGGTCGGTCTGGAGCATCTCAGCGGGGGCAGGTAAGCAGGTGCCAGTAGTATTAATATGTGGTCAGAGAGTCTGAGGTGGGGGCGGGGTATGGCTTTATATGCATCTTTCACACTGGTGTAAACACGGTCCAACGTGTTATTCCCTCTTGTAGGAATGCTGATAAAAACTTGTCAGTCTCCTTCCGATTCATGTGGTTACAATCACCAGCTACTACATAAAAAGCCTATGGGTGTTTGTTCTGAAGTGAACTAATGTTATTACTTAGCTCCTTCAGGGCGTCTTCAGCATTAGCATCTGAAGCTATGTAAACAGTTATTACCGCCGTAAACTTGTGGGATAAATAATGGGGTCAGCACTTCACAGTTAGTTGCTCTAAAGCCTCAAAGCATGTTCTATTTATTAGTGTACAGTTTGTGGACCAACCTTTGTTTATGTAGACACACACTCCCCCTCCACGCGTCTTTCCCATTTGTTTGTTGCAGCGGTCCACTCGGAAAAAAGTCTGCCATCCATTTGAAACGCTGAATCCAGCATGCCGCTTTTTAGCCATGTCTCTGTGAGACAGAGTGTCAAACATCCATTCTCTGAGGCACTCACGTTCAGTCAGAGCAGATTCATCATGTTATCCAAGGACCAGATGTTGGACAGAAAGAGAGACGTATCGGGAGTTTGCCGGACCTCGCGTTAGCTTTCTGCCTCACGAGCACGCCAGCTCGGCATCCTCTCTTTTCCCCACGGGCACAGCACCTCCTCTTTCCGTTTGAGCACTGCTGTCTCCACGCTGATGTCCGTAAAAGTTGTAGTCTGCCGAGTGTAGCCTTAAGATTGTTGTTGATTGCTGCTTTTGAAAAGATGTGCTTGCACGTGCAACAGCTTTGCTTGAGTGGTTCATCTTTTGTCTCTTTTAATTTTTTTATGCTGTCTCACAGCCAAATTCAGTCAGGCGAACTCAGGCTGTGCACGTTACAGAGACAAGCCACTTCAGAAAAAAGAAGCCCCCTCCCCAGTGCTCTCGTCACCGAAAGTGGGATAGAGAGGGGCTGCAGGAGAATGAAAGATTGTGCTTGCGGGTGCAACACCTGTCGTGACAGGGATGATGGCAGAGCAGAGGCTATGAATCATGGCACCTTTAATACATCTGTTAAACAAATTACCATTTCACCCTGTGTGTAGAGTGTGTGTGAGGGGAAAAAAACAGCAGGATCAAGTGACCTGACTGTTGAGAGGATTCTGCTTTTAGAACGATGTAGGCATTTTATTCAAGCTTTCAGTAACATTGTTACAAGATTCAACTTGTCTGCTGGATTCCTTAGATAGAAAACTTTACTGATTGGCTTTTATGTATGTGAATGTTCCTGTAAAGTGCCCTGAGACAACTTTGTTGTGATTTGGCACTATATAAATAAATTTAATTGAATTAACACACACAAACACCCAAGAAGTCATGCTAGTTATGCCTGAAGCTCTGCTGGCAAGGAGACTGCTGTGGCAGCTGTGACTGGGTTCTGTCTACCAGTGGCACTAGGGAGTAGGAGGAACGAGGGGGACGATGCAGCTGCGGCTGTGGAGCGTCACCCAAATCATGGTGCGAGCAGTGCAGATAGCCTCAGTCACACATAAATTCAAAATGGTGTCCGCCGCGTTACAGAGCTAGCTCTACTACTCTACTACTCTACTCTAGCATAGGTTTCTGTTGGTCGCTGCAGCTGTCTGAGACATGCACTGATACCAGTCAGTCAGTGAGTCTGGCCATGTGCTGGTCATTGGGGAAGGAGGAGAAAGGCTGTCGTTCGGCGTGCCAAGGAAACAAAGAAACTGTCTAGATGACCTGACTGAGAATTATTGAATTTGATACCTGGATGATTGAGCATGAACTTTGTAGCCTTGAAACACTTTGGCTGTGGCTGCCTGCCTGGGAGGAGTCGACCGGGGGGGGGGGGGGGGGGGGCAGGATGGCCCCCAGAAACCATCTTAGCTCCAGCAGACTGATTGGTCCACTTAAAGAATTTACTGCTGGTAGGGAAACAGTTTACTGGAACTCCTCAGACTGATGAAGCCCTCCAGATAGAGGATGAAACATCTCTATAAAAAAGAAACTGTCCAGATGACCGACTGAGAATTATTGCATGTGTTGTGTCTGCAGACATATGACTCAGAATGCAGCTACAGCAGTGAGGAGATGGAGCAGTTTCAGACAGAGGTGAAGCAGTTGCAGACCCAGATGAAGCAGCTCAAGGTAAGCACAATTTTCTTCTTCTTCTTCATCTTCTTCTTTTTCTTCAGGGGTTGCCACAGCGAATCATTCTCCTCAATCTCACTCTGTCCCCTGTGTCCTCTGTCCTCACTCCAACTACCTCCATATCCTCTCTAACTGCATCCATATATCTTCACTTTGGCCTTGCTCTTTGTCTTTTTCCAGGCAGCTGCATTTCTAACGTCCTTCTAACAATATACCCACTGTCTCTTCTCTGGAAATGTCCAAACCACTGTCCCTCTTATAGACATGTCAAAAGCATCTCAGCCTGGCTGCTCTAACTTTATTTCCCAGTTGTTCAACCTGTGCAGTACCTATGATGATCTCATTCCTAATCTTATCCATCCCTGTTACTCCGAAGGAAAACCTCAACATCTTCATTTCTGCCACTTCCAGTTCTGCCTCCTGTCTTTTTGTCCATGTCTCTGTCTGCAGACCATACAAGATAGCTGGTCTCACCACTGTCTTGTAAACTTTTCCCTTGGTGTTTGTTGCCACGGTTTTGTCGCAAATCACTCCTGAAACTTTTCTCCATCCACACCATCCTACCTAGACACTTTTTTCAGAGTCAGAGTCAGAGTTTCTTTATTGTCATTCATGTGGTACATGTGGTGGAGCGAAATTATGTACACTTTTTTTTTTCACCTTTTTATCGCATTTCCCATTTATCTGGACAGTGGACCCCAAGTATTTTGAAGTCCTTCACCTTTGTGGCCTCTGCTCCTTGTAGCCTCACTGTTCCACTGGCCTCCCTCTCATTGCCATACATGTACGCTGTCTTACTATGGCTTACTTACTCTGTCTTACTATGGCTTAGTTTCATTTGTCTTTAAAGTGCATACCTCCACCTGTCCAAGTTCTTTCCACCTGTACCCTGCTCTCACCACAGATAACAATGTCATCTGCAAAAAGAACCCTGAATCGTTTGTAAGATGGCGCCGATGTACGTGGCAGGTCGTCTCTCACTGTCAGTCCTTGTCGTTTTTCTGTTGTTTTTAAGTCACTATTGGTGTATGATTGCCAAACGTTATTGGACCTAAGGCCATTTATCAACAATGTGGCTACTTTTAATACATGGGAACATAAAATCCCCCCTCCCCTTTGTCATGGTGCAATTGTTCCCAGCCAGTTCCTGAGGTGTTTCCTGGCATGTTTTTGCCGTGGCATTTTCTGGAGTCGGTGGATGCTTGTCTAGTTTGTGTTGTTGGTGCGGATGTCTCCCGGCGTCAGCGCCCCTGCCCGCCCCGGCTCAGCAGGTGCAGAGCGAACCCACTGAACCTGAGACAGCTGAGTCAGACCCTCCCTCAGCGCGACAACCCCGCTCCAACTCCAGCCATGATCGGCTTGGTGAATGCCAGATCGCTGGTCAATAAAACTTTCATCCTGAGGGATTTCTTCAGCTCCCATAACCTAAACTTCCTCTGTATTACAGAAACTTGGCTGAGTGAGGCTGAGTCAGCTGCTCTGTTGGAGCTTTTACCAACGGGCTGCTCTTATTTTAACTCTCCACTATCATTGGGCCAGGGAGGAGAAACTGCAGCCGTGTATAAAGATGTTTTTAGTTGTAAACAATGTTTTAAACAGTATTAATTCACCAGCTTTGAGCTGACCTCCTTTTAAGTGGGTCGTTCTGACCTGACACTCTGTGCTGTCATCTATCGCGCACCCAAATTCAATAAGGATTTTATTAGTGACTTTTCAGACTTTCTTTCTGAAATAGTGCCTGGCTAAGATCATCTCCTTATTATTGGTCATTTTAACATCCATGTCTGTTGCCCAGACAAATCTCTGGTAAAATATTTTTTTTATTCTTATCGACTCTTTTAATTTGGTGCATTTTGTGTCTGGACCTACACATAATAAAGGTCACACTCTAGATCTTGTGCTCTCTTTGGGATTACCTGTGTAAAATCTGGAAATTCATGACTCTATAATCTCTGATCATATGCCTATAACATTCCAGACTGTTCTCACATATGCTCCTGTTAAAACTCACACTCCTGCTCAGAGCTGTTGGATTATTAACCCCTCCACTACTAGCCAGTTCACTGAGGTTTTCTGCCAGCTCTATCCACCTGCCTCAAGTGATGCTGAGGATCTGAGTTCTTGGCTCCACTCATCCTGTCTGACTGTGTTGGATACTGTGGCTCATTTAAAGACCAAACAGCCTGAATTCAAACCTGAACCATGGCTTCAGAACAGAACAGCTCGAGCTGTCAGACAGGAATGTCGCAGAGCGGAACGCAGGTGGAGAAAGGAAAAGCTGCAGGCGTCCCTTCAAATTTTTAAAGACTGTTGGCACAATTACCAGGACACAGTTAAAGCAGCCAAAAAGGACTATTTTTCTAACTTGATTTTATCTCACAGCCATAACCTACATGTTCTTTTTAGCAGTGTTGTAATGTAACAAAGTAGAAATACTTCGTTACTGTACTTAAGAAGAATTTTGACATATTTTTACTTTACTTCATTATTTACATTTCTAGCGACTTTCACTTTTACTTCACTACATTTCCTTAATAAAATGTGTACTTTTACTTCAATACATTTTCCTTAACCATCATAGTTACTAGTTACTACAATTTAAAATTAAAAGAAATCTGATTGGACAAAGCCTGTTTATTCTCCCAGCTTGTGACTTCATGCATCCACTTCTCTTACCCTGACACTCTCAATCACAAAACCAGCCCCTCCCCGCTGCTTGTGTGAAACCTTTTTAGTACCAATTGACTATTTTCTTAACTGTTTTTTTCATTTAGCCTTTATTTATACAGGTAGTCTCATTTAGCCACGAGAACTCATTTTCAAGAGAGACCTGTTTAGGGAGCAAATGGGGGGTTAAGGGCTTTGCTCATGGGCCCAGAATGGGGCGAATGAGGGTGGGGGCAGGTGTGGATGCTTCACCCATCCCACCCAGATTTTTGATATAGTCAGTACCGGGGCGTGAACCGGCGATCTTCCGATCACAGGCCCACCTCTCTAACCTCTGCGTCACCACTCCCCCACAGATTCTCCACAGATGGCTGGTTTTGAAGCATCTACTCAGTTGTGTAATAATTTTATGCAGTTTTTATTAATAAGGTTACCTTTTGTCAAGTGATGGGCATTTCACGTGAGGTATGAAGTCAGTTCTCATGACCTAAAATAAGGTTAAGAGCAGTATAAACCACAGATCCCTGAGTATGCGTTCTGAACAAGCAAGAAAGGTTTATTTACTGAAACTTCTGAAAAAACAGGTAAGGTTTATTTACTGAAACAAATCTAAATAATAGTATGTAACAGTGTTTGAAGTCTTTCTAATATACTATGTGTTAAGAGTGTAAAATCCTATGAATTAAGACTTAATCAATCAATGTTAAAGACATTATAGAGCTTAAATTAAGAGATTATTGGGAAATCTTATATTGAAAGTGAATTAACTTTAAATGATTAAGATTAAATTAATTAGTTACTGACTAAAAGTGAAGAGAATAGATGGTCAAAAGGTCAAGTTAACAGCTTAATGTTCGTGTGTCAAGTCAACACAGGAAGTGGAAGTCTGAACAGATGGCCAGGCCAGTAGAAGAAAAAAGAGGAAGTTACAGTATCTATAGAAAAAGTGGAAGCTATCTACAGAAAACAGGAACAAGATACCTTAAGTGAAGAGGCTCTCTCAGTAAAAGAGGAAGCTCTCTACAGAAAAACAAGAAGACAAACCTAGTGGCAGTCAAAGCTAATTTTAGCAATGACAGTGATGTTGAACATGTGATCTGACGTTGTAGAACAGTCTGTATCCAGGACTGTTGCTATGCAGAAATTACACAATAAGCAGACAAATGTATAAAAAGGCTCAACATTAACGATCTGTGCTGAAGCACTTGGGGGGTTTTAAAGGGCAGTTTATTGACGCATTCCGTAACTAAAGGGAACTTGAAGATCTTGAAAATAATTTTTCTCAGCTCAGCCCGGACCTGAAAGCCAACTCAAGTTTCCAAGATTGGATTTTATTGAATGCAGTATGAAATATTCTTCAAAAGCTACTGAGGGATGCTTGTCACCAGCTTCATCATTCAAGGATCCCCTTTGACAAGGGGTCTTCGAGAAGAGATGGTATGACACTGTAGTGAACTCGGCCTCCGACCAAAACCTGCCTCTGAGGACCTTCATGGGACAGGAACTGTTATTTCATTGATTTGAATCCAGAAATACAAATTAGCTCATCCAGAGACTGTCTAATTGTATCCTGAAGTAATCAATTGAAAGAACACTCTTCTTTTATATTATCATCACTATTTTACAATATCTTGATAAATCAAAAGTGTGTTTAGTTCATACCATTTCTAAATGTTGAAGTGAACCACTCATTTTAAATCAACTGTGAAACAGTATCAATGATTTTTAATCCTCATTTAAATTAGAAATCAAGTTAAATGTCTATTTTACAAAGTAATTATGCATTTTTGATCTTCTGTCTAAATGAGAAGTAGTGATGTCGGTTGAAAGTCAGAAAGAAGTTATTAAAACTAAGTGTCGTGTTTTTAAACCTAGCAGACGGTAAACAAGAAGCTACTGGCCTCTCTTCCTCCTACTTCACCATAACATGTCTTCTGTCTGTACGGGACGTTTCTAAAACATTCCTGCTATTTTATTGACTTGTAATGACCCTCTGACATCACTAGAACCACCCCCTGTTGGTTGCTTCAACCAATCAGGAAGTCCTGAGGTGACCGGAAGTGAGAACTCTTTAAGAGTCCACACTTCCTGGAACTTCTCAGGTCAACTGGGTCTGTCAGTCAGTCGGTCAAGTCTCCTGAGCTCCTCAAGTGGGTCTCTGATGAAGTCTAGTCTTGAACTTAGTCTTCGGAGCCTGTGATGGATCCTTCCACATCTGAGTGGAACCTCTTACGGACTCACAGCTTGCTGTGTATCCAACCGGGAGATGAGCGTGTTTGTTGAACGGAGTACTGTCACTACTTCGGACGATTCTCAACCATCCTTACCGG